GCACGGCCGGCCCGCCCGGGCAAACAAGGCGACCCAGACGGCCCGGGTGGTAGTCTAGGTAATTGTTGATTTGTCCGTCTGTTGTGGTCCCCTCATTTTGTTACCTCTGACACAGGCTATGCTGTTGTTGCAGATGGAAATTTTGGAATGCGACAAACGAAGGGCGGAGGAATTGGCGGCTATGGCAAAAGAGGCGTTATCGAATGCAGAAGCGGAGACGGTAACGCCGGCTTCGATAGCCATGAGCAAAAATTATGAGAGAGTTGGATTTGTGGAGCCGCTGCCGCGAGGCGGAGGGGGATTCGTTGAACGGCAAGGAACTATGGAGGTAGAGGCGGACAATGAGGATCAGGTGGAGAGTGGAAGGGCATGCCGCTTCTCCCGCTGCGAAGGAGGAGATGTGAATATGAGGGGCGCCAAGGAGGTTGTGCTGCTGGGGTGGATTACCACAGGGTTGCTGAGCTTGCTGATGATTGAGTTTGTTCTCCATGATGGCGTCTCGTTAAGTTTGGTCGCGACATTCATTTCGGTCTATGTTGTGGTAGTTGGGTTTGCCTTCGGCAGCGCGGAGGCTGTGGGGGGCTTGGCAGTCGCAGCTGTATGTCTGAACTCGTTCGCTTTGGGGTTGTTGTTGTGCCGGCATTCTTTGGGAAATGCTTTGCTTGGAGGGGTGGTAAGGACCTTCAAAGGGCTAGATTACATGATGCAGGCCATCTTCTCAGAGCCTGCCGTTCCTCAGCCTGCAATTGGACGGACGACTCAATAACGACGCTTTTGTGTCCGTGTGTGTGTGTGTGTGTGTGTGTGTGTGTGTGTGTGGGTGGGTGGGTGGGTGTGTAAATTTGGAGTATGGGAAGCGGAAGCGGGGTGTGTGAGTGCACGTGCCTGTGCGTGTTGTGTAGAGTAGAAGGAAGGGGGGCGAGGTGGTGTGTATGCGTGGCCGTGTGTGAGTTGGGAGGGCGCAGGGTGGACGAGGGGGCGGTGAGGGGTAGGAGCAGAACTGAGAATGTAGGGTGATTATAATGCGCAGAAGTAATAGACAAGGCGGTCAGGGGGAGGTAGGGATAAGGGGTGGGAATGTGGAAGAGGGAAGAATGAGGGGGGGGGAGTGGGGAGGAGTCGTACATGTGGTGAGTGAGTGGGAAGGATCGAGGAGAGTCACACAGTGAGTGACTGGCACACACACACACACACACACACACACACACACACACACACACACACAGGTCTCTTATACACATCTAGATGTGTATAGCTGCGCTATCTTGTACTATGTGAGAGAGGTCGG